TCGACTTATTTGTTGCTATAATAAGATGACATTTCACATGTCAATCGGTACAGTTGTCGCTCACGTATTTTAAAATAAAAGTCTTGTATAAGCAAAACAAGTTAAAAATCAAACATTTGTTGTTTTTTGACCACACACTCTGCGACCCACAGAAAATGTTCCTGCAACCCACTTTTGGGTCGCGACCCACCAGTTGAGAAACACTAATTTAGAACAGAACAATTTGAGTGAACAATTACTCTGCACTAATGTAAATATAAATAAATTTAGATACTTGCCATGCAGGTGTAAGTAAGCAAGGTTTTTTGTGCATAGAGAATTATGCAACGCTAACCCCCATCAAATGTACTACTTCTATGTACTCAAAAAATCAGGCAGGCAACTACCTTCAGAACCCAAGTGATGCTCAAGCACTGGTTGTATTTAATTACATTTAATGTTAACCTTTTTAAATAATAATAATAATGTTTTGAATATAAGATAACAAGAATATTGCAAAATGCATTAGTTTCAAGTTGCAAAAATGTAATAAATTTGATACCACCTCCAACTTATTTTGAACAAGGAAAAACGCTGAAATATGTAAATATAAGTAACTAGACATTTGCACTGCAGTAATGTAAAAACAGAACTTTAACCATTTGCACTGCAGTATAAATATAAATAATTTCACACAATGTTAAGCATGGTAATACTCACCCTCAAAATGATGAATGTTACTTAAAATGTAGAATTTGAACCTCTTCCCTTCTTTGCTGCTTGGTGTGACAGCTCTCTGTCTCACGATTAATGTCGTCAGGCCCGGCCCTTACCAATTTGGCACTCAAAGCAAAATTTCAGGTGGCGCCCCGTTGCATCGCAGTAAATACCACAGCTAGTGTAAATATACCCATAAGAAACTAAATAGCTTTGTCTCGGACATTCTTTTATTTAAATTAAGCAAATGCACATTCAAAATACTTAGGAAGAAGGATTTGCAACTGTGAGACAGAGAAACCTCAGCAGCGCATCTGAAGACAGAAGAGAAGTATGTGACACCAGTCTAATAATAAACACGAGATTTTAAGAATAACATAAGATGAAATAACTGAAAAACATAAAGATACGTGCGTGATGTAGACGACTGTATAACACACTATGTACTTTTTCTGATATACAAATTATATTAGTAATTCATATTAGTGACAATTAAACTTTTATTGTCATTACAGTGAAATGCTAATTTGCAGAATGCAACCCAAAAAAAAAAAGAGTAAACTGCAGTATAATAGACCATGTGGTAATGATCTAACATTAATAATGTGCACTTTAGCACTGATGTAAAGTTTTTTTATAAATGCACTTTAGACACTATGAACTCTAACACAATAAACAGCTAGGCTTACAACTATGGTTAAAATCAAGAGCATTTTGATTAACTACTACAACCACGCCAAAGCAATTAATGTTATAACACCTAATGCTGCTAAATATCTCTAATATTTACACATTTGCCTGAGAAAGAAATGATAGGGGTCATTAAATTGCAGTTAGTATTTGCCATAACATCTATGCCCTTCCATAACATTAGCTGGCATTAAAACTAACAGATAGAGCTAGCTATTTAATGATTAGCAAACCATATTATGCCATACCTGTTAACATTATACTCTGTTTTTGATAACAGAGGTGTCACTGTAAGAATGCACAATTCTATAACATAAGCATTCGACTACTTTAGTAACTGTTTGTGCACATTTAAGAGAAAATTAGTTATTTAAAATAAAACATGCAGGACGGAAATGTTAACATATTATTAAGTGTATGTGTCTGTTTAAACACACACCTAAATCCCCATAGTAAGCCAAACTTTCGCTCCTCTTTAAATGCTGTGTACAGAAGCTGATCCGGGAACAGTTTATTATACACAGCACGTCCGTCAGTCAGCATGTACACTGATTCAGGGGTTGCGATGATCAACGCACAGCTTTAACGGATTGAAAGTGAATGCAGACGTTTTTATCAAGGTGCTTTCAAGCCAAAATAAAGCGAAAGCATGATTCTCTTGAACAGCTCTTGCAATTAGGCTATATCACATTTGAGATAGACTCTGTGTTGACGGTACTTTCACTATTCATAGAAAGTTTAATCCGGGAAAATACTTAGATAGCAGGGAAAACCAGAGAGTTGACAAGTAGCCTATGTCACATTAATTATTAATGGCGTTATCGATCACAGATACAGTAAAATAATAATCTTTTTCATACTGTCTTTGTCGCGTTTTTCCTCCTCTTCTTTTTATTTAAAATTTTTTTTTGCCTCCCCTGCACACTAGACAGTTTAGGATGTTTAGACATATTGAGCATTTTGACCCATCAAAAAAAATGAACACCGCAGCAGGTAAAGTCTAATTATTTGGAAGGGGGCGGGGGGTGTCTTAAGCAAGTAACTTGGGTAATAATATTATTATACTACTACTACTACTTAGTAGGCTATGCACTATGCAGTTAATTTAATCTGGGCCTATTTTTTTCTTAAGTTATAATACCAACTAGTTTTAAGTATAGTGGAAGTTACACTTTTTTTTCTTACCCTATTTCTGGCGCCCCCCAGGACGCACTTAGCATTTGCCTATTGACCTTATTCTCCGCAGACGAGCGGGCGCTGTCATTTGAATCTTTTTGGCACGAGACTTCCGGTCTCATTCACTTCCATTCATTTTTAGACATTAAAAACTGCTCGTTTCGCTGTTTGATGTTGCAAACTGATATTTCCTTGTTATATTATTCTACTTGGTCTGTATACAGGCCCGGCGCTACGGGGGGCAAAGGGGGGCATTGCCCCCTCAGAAAGAGTTTGTGCCCCCCCAGTTTTTATAAAGGATTGTTCTCTCAAACTGAAAATTCTTTATGTCATTAATTATTAACACCCCCGTCGTTCCAAGCTTCAGAACACACATTTAAATATTTTAAAATATATGACATAGCAATTGAATTATGAAAATGGTGAGATTAAAGCTAGTCCTATAGTCCAGAGTTCCAGTCCCCGCGTCAGGTCTGGTGCGCCCGTAAATAAAACGCGCATAGTAGCCTAATGTAGCCTAATAAAAATGTTTTATTAAAAAGAAATAGCCTAGTTTACTGCACGTTCCCACAGTAGGCTACACTATAAATAATATTTTAATTAATTTATTAATATTATTATTAATAATATTACAATTAAGCTAAAATTGACAAAATGCAGAACCCTTTAAATGTTTGCTTTCATTTTGCTAAAAAGCGCACTTTTACAGTTGTGTAGAGAAACATCTCATTATGCAGCAGCAGTCAAGCTATAACTCATAATAAATACCTTTTGCATTTAAAGATGATCGGCCTGCGAAGTCAAGTTTGCAGTGTTATAAATGGAATAGGTTTTTAGTGCTTAAGTGGAATTACCGCGGATCAACCGAGAAACCTCTCACGTGCGCTGCAGGTAGGCAGAATGATAATCTTTTAAAAAATAAGTAATTTAGGCTATACTGCTATTTGCTCATGCAAAATTAAACAACATAAAATATATTGTAGATCTATTTTAAGAGCTGGAATACAACATATCGAGTTTGTTTTGACGTGTAGCTCATGGCCCTAAAATGAAAATAACCTGAAAACAAGCTATTAAAAAAGGTTTAATAAATAAAATAATTAATAAATAAAATGACGGGTAGGCCTAGTAACCTAATGGTTTAAGATGGTTTACAATATCACGAAAAAAAAACACTTAAATAGCCTAATATAAATCTTTGTATTTACATTTAAAATTATGGGAAAAAAAGTTATATAGCATATTGAGTTGCGTGTTATCCGTGAAAAAAATTACCAATTTTCACGGTAACAACATGTGAATTTTGGTATCTTTTTTAGGTATTTTTCTGGCTACACTAATGCCTTAAAATGTAACTAAGTAATTGTTTTAAATGACATTAGATTGTAACATTTAGCTTTTCCCTAACACTGATGTTGGTTGGATAATAGGGTACGTGAAGCGTGATGACTCGGTTAAGCTGATGTCACTATATTTATTTACCGGTTAAATGAATAGTCTGATCGTGGGTCAGCTTGCATGTGTGGGCATAATTTGACGTCTTTACCTAAAACTTTAAACATTCATAGGTCTGTTATTTGAAATAAAACGGAAATAAGGAGAATAACATATGATTTAAAGCACTCGTTTGGCACTGAAGCCATGATCCATCTACATTAATAAGCGGTATGCATTACCATCGTTAATAAAATTCATAATAGCGAAACTGCATATTGTTATTACTATTAAAATGTAGCCTATATTACTGCCTTAGGTCAGTAACTTAGGCAGTAATGCAAAGTAATGATAAATGTGAATAAATATCCTAAATGAAAGAAACAAGAGACCAAAATCAGTCACCAGGTCTAGTGCCCCCTATGGATTTAAAGTGCCCCCTCAGTTTTGACTTCCTGGCGCCGGGCCTGTCTGTATAGTCATGCAAACATTTGTTGTAGAGCAAGTAGTTTGACCGTTTTTGCCATTTATTATTCCTTGTCATTTCTCCCATAGGCGACTGAAACGGAAGTTCTAAGACAATCGCGAAAACAGGCACACAGCTTCCGCATTTTAGAATAAGGTCAATACTGCCTATGCCACAGGCCTGCTCTAAATGTCCTTCATGATAAGTCAAATAAACTCTTAGAAACAGTGAGTGTAATCTATAACCTTCACCGCCATCCGCTTGAAGTGATCGCCGTGCTGCATCGGAAATTGACATGCGGGCTAACTGCAAAACGCGGAAGAGGATCGTGCCTAGTCTATTTTGGGTGAACTGTCTCTTTAAGAAAAGGGCACCTTTTTTATGAAACTGCACACGTGAACAGCTGAACCACATCCGCTTCCATGACGCTTCCCCAGATGGACGTGACTTCCCCCACGGGACGCGAAATCACGCCCATCTCATTCATTTGCAAATCGGTCTGTAGTCTGAGGGCGTTCCAAGCTTTATAAGCTGCGTAGCCCCTTCCTCACATCACCAGTGCGGAAAAAAAAGTCACAGCTGAGACATTCCAGCCCAGTCTACTCTGAATTACACAGTCAAATATCAACTATCCACAGGTAAGACATGAGCAAACATTTATTTGTAATAGAGTATTATAGGTAACCCGTTAAACGAAAGAAAGTTATAGTCTTAAAGCTTAGAATATGGGTCGTGTTTAGATATTTCCTCCATAATCAATAAATTTATCATTAGACTATATGGCATTTTACTGTCCCTCAGAATTGTGTTTAGTAAAAGCATATTTTATGTATTATAAAACCGCGCAGAGAGCTGATGTTGTAAGCTGTTGATCATTTGTACGAAAGCAACGTTTGTATTTCCACCGTTACGTAATCTTGGATGCACATCAAAAATAAAATTAACGTAAAACAAATACATTGTCTTCTTTGAGGCATCGTTTTCATGCATCTTACATTGTTAATTTGTAGTATATATTTCATGTATACTGGACCATGTGTATCAGTTCTGTCACATCATTCAGGTTTACGAGTCATTGAAGCGTACGTGCTTTTCTCAGCATGGACCACTACGCTTTTTGATGCACGTATCGCTTCCTTAATTGCAAAGGATTCTGGTACTTGTGGTTTTTAGGCATCCCTATGTGCACAACTTGTACGTGACATGAGTCAGTAATTATTCATCCAGTGAGTACGGGCAGGATTTCCCCATTTGTGATCTCGAAATAATTCACTCATCATGTTTTAGATTATTACCTCTACTATGAAACTGTTTTTAATTTCTCTATCTGAGTAATGAGAGGCAACTATGAATCACCAATTGGAAAAATTAGGCTTAATTGTCTATATAGTACTGTGCAGCTGTAATTCTGTATTAGATCAAACATAATGCATCAATTTATTGTTTTGTTTTTGTGTTGATGTTTTGTGATCTGTGGATGCTGAAGGAGATGTTTAATGAAGAGTAAAGGGTTCTTGATGTCATTTGTTTTTCCACTTTGCATCAACTCCACAGACCATCTACGTGCCTCTGTGCACACAACACTGCTAAAGCTGGACTTGAGAGCGGGATGAAAATAGCGCTTTGCTCTTATACACTTAACCTTTCTTGTGGCTGCACTTGAGATGAAATGGCTACATCCCTTAGTAGACTTCAATGTTACGTGTCATGTAATTGAACAGTCAAAGCTTTAAAATGGCAATTTGATAGAAATAATTAAAACAGACATGGTCTCCTAAAGTGCTTTTACCTAAAAGTAAATTGATTCACGAGATTCTGTGTGTCTCCACAGTTGAAGATGGCCTCAACAAAGGAGAAACTCATTGCTCACGTGAGCAAGGAGCAGCCTGCTGGGCCCACAAACAAGGTGACAGTGGTTGGTGTTGGAATGGTAGGAATGGCTGCCGCCGTCAGCATCCTTCTCAAGGTCAGTGAGGTCCCTGCACTGGATAAATCGTCACACAAAATAAAAATAATCCCAGTATCAGTCTGCGGTTTAATTTTTTTGTTATTGTTGTTTTTTATTTTTTTACCAATACATTATTGGTAGCATGTTCAAAAATTATAAAAATAATTAAATTACATATAATAATTATAGTCCAATTGAGTCTTTTTTTTTAAATGATCTACATTACTCCTTTTTTTTGTATTCAATTTAAAATAAAATATTTTGATAAAAAAGGGAGAGAAATATGCCTTGTGGCAATTGTCCATGTTTAATGACCCATGCTTCTATTTTGTTAGTTTATATCTGGCATATGTTAAATGTTTTGTTAAAAAAATTGTGAAATTTAGAGATTGTCTCACAGAGATGATTATACTGAAATGTAATAAGAGTTTAATGTTTAGAGATAAATGTATGTGCCAGTGGCTTGTTTGATTTTAATAAAATTTTAGAAAACATGGTAAGAATTTGAATGGTTTGTAGATCTTTGCTAGACTGAAGGGGAGTGGTTCTTTTTCTGCTATTGTTCAAATAAATTAAAGTTCTCCTGACATTAGAACAAGGAATGATTTCTGAATAAGAATGAAGGGCTTGTATCTCTGCGAAAATGAAACATGATCCTCATAACTGGAAATTGAGCAAAAACAGAGACCATTCCATTGGGGATCTTATTTTAATGGTAATAAATGTGCAGTTCATATATTCATATGTAATCTCTAAAATATTTTGTAGTTATATAAATAAAAAATATATTAAAAAATGCACAAATAAATCTATTATGTCTTCTAGAAAGGTCTAAAAATGTTAAACAAATGTAAACATTGAAGCAAACAATAAGTAGAGGAGTGCTGAATCTGAATCATGCATGTGCAGGATCTGACCGATGAACTCGCCCTGGTGGACGTGATGGAAGATAAGCTGAAAGGAGAGGCTATGGACTTGCAGCATGGAAGCCTGTTTCTCAAGACGCACAAGATTGTAGCGGATAAAGGTCAGGTTTCATAATCGACTAATGAAGACATGAAATGTGGAAGGAGGAATAAAGCAGCTGAATTTATGGCTGATAAGCAACAGACAAGTTTGATTGATGCTGATTTTATAGTACGTCAATAATATACCAGTGATATGGGTTGCATTCAAAATTGTTATACTATTTATGCAGAAGTATAATGAAAAAGTGGTCAGTGGTTTAAAATGGAATTGCATTATATAACCGCACTGGAATACTTTTTAATTAACAAAAGTGATAACTTTTATTGAAATGGCACTTAAAAAATATTTTTGCTACTTAACAAACTGCTTATTTAGAACTTGCTTAGATTTGTGTAGGGACAACAAAAAGGAATTGTGTGGAAACTAGTGTTTATTTATTTATTTTTTTTTTTATAATAAAACCTGAGCTATGTGCTCCACTGTCAATTGAACATGCTCCAACCAGTCCAACTAATGCCCATGATATGAAACATGCAAGGTTAATAAACTGTATGTACAGCAACTTGAACCAAATCTGGCAGCTTGGCTTATCATGGGAAAATTATTTCATAAAGTTCTTCATGAGGAAATATTTTAAAACCAATGTCCAGCAAATACTTATCTGCATCAAAAACAAAACTAACAAGTAAAACAATGCATATGTAATGATAATTCATACTAACAGGAGCACAGTTCAAAAATAATTTGGCTGCTGTCAAACACTGCAACATAAATCTTTTTTAGTTCTTGTTACAACTTAGTCTAAACAAATATTTGCCAAACATCAGACATCAAATTAAACCATATAGAAATGGTTTCTCACCATTTCAGAGAGATTGTTTTAAAATTTATGTGAATTTTATTTATTTATTTATTTTTACAGATTACAGTGTGACCGCAAACTCAAAAGTGGTTGTTGTGACCGCTGGAGCTCGTCAGCAGGAGGGTGAGAGCCGCCTGAACCTCGTCCAGAGGAATGTTAACATCTTCAAGTTCATTATCCCAAACATCATCAAGTACAGCCCCAACTGCATCCTTTTGGTGGTCTCAAATCCTGGTATGCAATTACACAAGGAGTTCTGATAATGCCAGGGCTGGCAATAAAGCCAAATTATAAACCAACTTTATCTACTCTTTAGTTGACATCTTGACCTATGTGGCCTGGAAGCTGAGCGGTTTGCCCAGGAACCGTGTGATTGGCAGTGGCACAAACTTGGATTCTGCTCGTTTCCGCTACTTGATGGGAGAGAAGTTGGGAATTCATCCATCTAGCTGCCATGGTTGGGTCGTTGGAGAACATGGAGACTCCAGCGGTGAGCACTGATGCAAGAGCACAATGAATCTTTGTTTGTGTAAGAAAAAATATGTAAACCTGTAAAAATCTATTTTTGTTTGTAGTTCCTGTGTGGAGTGGTGTGAATGTGGCTGGGGTGTCCCTCCAAGCTCTAAACCCTGACTTGGGTACAGATAAAGACAAGGAGGACTGGAAGAGCGTCCACAAGATGGTGGTTGACAGGTGAAATATTATTATTATTATTATTATTATTATTACTTTTTTTTTTTTTTACCGACTAGACATAACTACTAGGATTAGTCTCAGAAATGCATCTAGAAAGAGAAGCCAAATCACGTTGTATATGATCTGTAACAAATGTGTACTCTGTGTCCACATTAAATCTCTAAATCAACTCTTTGGGTAAATGTATTTAGTCTGGGCTCATGGGTGTTTATCTTTGTTTAACATTAATCTTGTTTGTTTTGGCAGTGCATATGAAGTTATTAAGCTGAAGGGTTACACTTCTTGGGCTATTGGAATGTCTGTAGCTGACCTGTGTGAAAGTATCTTGAAGAACATGCACAAATGTCACCCGGTTTCTACTTTGGTCAAGGTGAGATGGATTGGCATGTTTTTGGAAGATTAGTGATCATCGTTAAATAAATATTATGGAACATTTTTAAATACATTTCTATATAATATAAATAATTTAGAAATCTCTGTCTAATAACTATGAGAACAACTACCTTCTAATGTAGCATCTTGGTGAAAGGATTGGAACTACTTTTTTGCAGCACAGTTTTATGAAACACAAAATTGATACTGACTGATTTTATAGAATTATGTATGCGAGAAGTACCTGGATGACATAGTACTTTTGGTTAGATTCTGAAGTGTGCATCCAATGGATGCCATGCTCTCCCATGATGCCACTTCAGAGAATTTATAAATGGGAGAGAAGTGACACAGCCGACGTAGGTCTGTCACGTGATCAGACAAAATTGCGAAGTTCTATTCATACTTGATACTACTCTAGGGTTGGGTATCGTTTGGGACTTTTTTTTCAATACCGGTGCTAAATCGGTACTTTTAAAACGATACCGGTGCCAAAACGGTGCCTGAACCGATACCTTTTAGCCACAAAATTATGGTGAATGATTCTAGAAAAACCTTTTTATTTGACAAAGTCTTAAAAAAATTATAGAACAATATAATTTAAGTTTAAGGAAAACATCAATTCATATTTTATATATTTGAGTTACTTTAATATGTTTCCTTTGATCATTTGTTGGTTAGCATGAATTTTAAGATTTGCATTATGAAATTACATTAGCTCTCTATTAACCTGTGGGGGGGCAGGCAGGGGCCATGTACTTTTGGGAGCACATTTTAACATGTATATTACAAAATACTTAATTATTCAAAGTCATTTTTCATGCATCACTCTGTAGTCTTTTATATACAAAATAATTAAATAACTTAAACTTAAAATAATCTTCCTTCCTTGTTAATTTATTTGACAAGTAACGGTATACTGGTGTAGGAGAACACATTTCTAACATTCAAGTACATCAAGGCACATTGCTGCACCTGTAAACTTTAACAGGCCTACAGTTGAAGTCAATTTATTTTGCCCTCCCATTCATTTACAATAATGTTTTTTTTAATTTTCAGTGTTTACTAAAATATTATTCTGAAGTCATAAGTCGTATTTCTTTTTGTTTATTTCTTGAATAAAAGCCGTTTTTAATTTAAATAAAAATAAGGTCAGTATTATTAGCCTCTTTAAGAATTATTTACTGTATGTTTTAGATATACACAACAAATCAGTTACAAAATAATTTGACTAATTATTTCAACTTTCATAGTTAACTGATTAAGTCTAAATTACACTTTAATCTAAATAAAAGACTATAAAATACTTAAAGGGACTTTGTCTGAATACAACTGTACTGCAAAATATCTAGTAAAATGTTATGCACTGAATAACATTTTACTAGATATTAACTTTAAAAATGTGTTGTAAATAAATCATGTGTTAAAGTCAGAAATCAAAAATCAATGAAGGCAAAACCAAACGAGTTGAATATGACTGACATGAGCGTGACTGAAAACTACATTTGATCAATGTGTTACATATCTTCTTGGGAACTTGCCGACTGTTTGTAAACTCAAGACTGCATTTTCTAACGTAAAACTATGTACACTAGATTTCTGATTAATAACGATCTCTGCATAGCCGAGGACTTCCTATTTTAAAAGTGTTGAAATCGCTATTGAAAACAGAAATCTGATATCATCAACAGTGTACATTTTGATAGTGTTTCACTGCATGAACATGACTGAAGTTTAATCTTTTTATTACCTGTGTCAATTTGGGCTTTAACTTCTGAGAAATGTGGGGAACTGATGCGCGCATCACCGTCACAGAGACAGCCCAAGTGCCCAAGGAAGCGATTGCACGTAACGCCTAAATCACGCGAGAGAGGCATTCCTTTGCCTTTTTGAGCCCTCAAATGTGTCATTTAAGTTTGACATGTTTCCCCTTACACGCAACTTTTGTAAAGCACGTTGCTGTGTCAGAATCCTTGCTTGTAAAATACGCTTTAAAATCCTTAGTTTAAGCAAATTTGATGAACACGATTATGCGTGTTGATCTAAAGAGTGTTGCTCTCGCTCACCGAGAACTGCGCACGTTGCGTGTTAACGTTCCCTAGCAACATTAACAAATGCCTGACATCGCCTCAGAGTTGTTAAGAATTAAATGTTTAGAGATCGTGACACAACGCCTGTGTGCCTTTGATGCACCTCTTTGATGCTTCTTATGTCCTTGTCGCAGCACCAATGGCACCGAAATTAAGCACCGAAATTCATATGCTGATTTGATCTGGTACATACCGGTTACAAAGGTACCGGTTCTATAATGACACCGGGTTTCGGTACCCAACTCTATACTACTCGCAGGCTTTTTCTCAACTAAACGAACGCAGAGAACGGACCTGCGTTCTTGTGAAGATTGGTCTTGCCAGGTCATGTCGGAAGAACGAACTCTGGAGATTGCAAGAACAGAGAACGAGTTCTGTGAGAAATGAGATGCTGCGTTCTTCCTGATGTTCACGTGACCTTCACGGGTTTTAATGGAAAATTATTAAAACATTACAGCATACATTCAAGTTATTGTTTCTCCCCTTTTCACAATATATATGATGTATGCATAAAGACTTTACAAATATATGTTGCACAATACAAATAAAACATTATTAAATGAATTTCAACAAATAAATACCCTTAATGTGCTTATGCCTTAATTTAAATTTTCATATTAATGTTTACTTTTACCTTTAGCAACATGCTAATTATTAGAAGCCATTGATATTTTTTATTTTGTTTTGTTTGTTTTTAGCACTGATATCTGACACTTGTTTTATGTATTACCAGGGAATGCATGGTGTAAATGAAGAGGTTTTCCTAAGTGTGCCTTGCATTCTGGGTAATAATGGCCTGACAGATGTCGTCCACATGACCCTCAAACCAGAAGAGGAAAAACAGTTGGTGAAGAGCGCCGAGACCTTGTGGGGTGTTCAGAAGGAGCTGACCCTGTGAACCGCGGTCTCCTCCAAAATGTAGCCACAAATTGCAAACCTCAATGAGTCCTGCCTATCTGTCTCCTGACCTCATAAACCTTAATGCCTGTTAAGATTAGGTAACTCCATGTCACTCGCAGACCATTAGATAACACTCCTTGTGTTAGTGATTTTAACTTCAAAGGGATAATTTATTCCTGTTGTCTCTACAAAACAATCAGCCTTAGTGAAAGTGTGTGTGTCTACATGCATATTATTGTCTATTCAAGAAAGAAGCACTTGTAAGATGTACAATTGCAGACTCTCATTGTATTCCGTTCTGAGGTCAGCTAGCATTCCGAACTTGCCTCCTGCATCAAGCAATTGGTCATTTACCAACAAGCAAACTTCATTGTAATATCAATTCTATGTTTTGCATGTACAACAAAATAGCTCTTTCGCTTTAAATCTACAATTATTATTTATAAAAATTTGATATCGACCTAAAAAAAAGAATGGAATAGTCCTTATTTATGAAAAATGTATCTGTTGATTGATTAATACTTCTATTTATTAAATGCAACAATGTATCTTACAATGGGCCTATAAATAATTTGTAATTTCTAAATTAAATGGTTCATATTGTTTTAAAAAGGATAAAGTTAAACAAAGTGACTTTATAAACCATCCTGAATTTACAGTTGTAATGGTTTAATGAATGGACAAATAAGTTTCCAACATGAGTGAAGTCCATTGACCACCATAGCAGAGCCTCTGAACAAAAAGAAATTTTATTTATGAACTGCTTAAGGTATTTGAATAGATGTTGACAAACATGCTGAGAGTGCATGTAACCAAACTCAATAAGGGAAATACAGTAGTGCAAATGATGGTAATAACTATATCACCCCAACTACTCGTTAAGTCCACACTATATGTATCATCTGAAAAAATGCTGTTGTCAGTGTATTTTTTGTGTGTGTGTTTATCAGAACAACAAAGCGCTCCTATCCAGGTGGTAAAACACAGCAGTGGTTTTAGCTTTTACTTGAAATGTGTGATTGTAGAATTAAGACACAGCCCGACTGAATAAACATTGTGACTATCTACAAAAGCTGCCTTGTGCGTCTTTATTCTGCAGACTGAATAGAAAAAAAACAGCTATAGAGAAACAAACTGGGTTAGTGGACTATGTTGTTTAAATCCAAAAGTGAATTAAGTTAAATAGCCTCAATTTCAGACTGGTCAAAAATTGAGGTGAAAAATCTGGAGAAAAAAACAGCACCACCATTGTACACACTGATACGAAAACACGATACAGTTGCTGACCATTCACGAGCCTGTCATAAATAAAGATAATGTTACTTTATTGATCTGTTTTGTTGACACAATAACCTACAGTCTGGAACAAATAGGGCAAAGTCTAAGAAACATCAAATCAAGTCTTAAATGTAATTCACATCTCAAAAGGTGCATTTAAATATCTAACTGAAATGAAGCAGGTAACAAAAAAGCCAAAAGAAAGTCATTTGTTTACTTTTGGAAGAATAAAAAGTCCAGAGTTTTAAAGTACAGTACAACAGTTTACAGCTCAAGTTTTAACATGACAAAGTATTAGTAACAATCTATCCTTTATATACAGTTAAAGCATAATGAATAGGAAATGCTAAATAATTCCCAATTGCAAAGAGATAAATAGTTCAACTGAAAATATAATGTAATGAAATTGAAATATAGAACTATGTCATCACTGTCATATTTCCCCCCGGATTCAAAATAAATAATAAATTATATTTTGCATAAAGAAAATTATGACAATTTTAGACAGATTTTTGCATTGTGACATTGTATCCTGGAAATTGAATTTATTCTTGTAAAATTTGTATTGTCTTTGTTTCTCTAAAAGTAAATGCTATACTGATTTTATTTTAAGGGGAAAATCCCAAATGTTGATACGTTTTTATTTCTGTACTATTGTAAAAAATCACTACATCAATAAACATTTTGGAAGTTAAAAAGTACCTTATTGTACATGATAATCTTAACAGTTCAATATTTTTCTTTTTTAATTGGGGTAAATTTCCCTGCGAGATTCACAGTTATTGAGTAAGACAATAATCTGTAACATTGCCTGATCTCATACATTTCCTGTTGACCCTGAAATTAAATATTAATCTGTATAGTCAATAGCAGTAGCATCTAAACGCAAAACACCTACCAGTTTAACATTAGAAGCTCAAATGAAAGAAGGAACATAATATCCCATTGACTTCGAATGTTCAGGTCTACTCAAACACTGTACCTTTGTACCTTTTCTAAATCAAGAGATTAAAATCAGGCAGGCACAGCATCTAAAATTCTCAGAAAAGTAAAATATGATAAACAGGTGAACGTCCACTGACATGCCACAAAGTGATTAGAAGAGAGTCTGGGTCTTATGATCAGAGCTGGAGTGTTGGGGAGAGTGTATTGGTGGTGACGTGGTCAGTATAGATCACTAAGTCCAGCAGTCTTTCGTGCTTTCTGCATAAGTGCTCGCAACTGAAACTGTTTTCGGGACAGTAGGCGCACATGCTGAAGACAAAAAAGGCGAGGAGGTCAGAAATCAAAACAACTTGATTGAAAAAAAAGAAAAGGAGGAGGAAGGAACATACCTTGAGAAAGACCTCCAGATCGATGACTCCTCTACGTAAGGCTTCTCCAAGGTAAAAGATGGTGTCCTCTATTGCATTCTCCTCTGCATACAGGTTCAGGATCTGTTTGTAGAGCGGGGCTGTTGGTATGATCACATCATCAATATCATTGTTTTCTGACTGATTCTCCATCTTCTCAAGAGCTTCACTCAGTTCTTCATCCTTCTTCTTGAGAAGCTCAATGTTTCTGTCCACTTCAGCCTGAGGACGCATATAATATCACACAAACTCAAGCTTTGAACATCAAGTTTCAACAAAACGAGACACCTAAGTAGAATAACTGCAAATGTTCTTACCACTTCCTGGTCCAGACGGGACACCATATCTTCCAGTTTCTGATGTCCTTTCTTCAGGTCCTCCTCTGTCCTCTTTAGGGCATCTAGTTCGGCCTGTGCTCTGTCCATCTCCTCCTTCATTCTCCAGCGTAGTTTGTCACTCACAGCTGAGATTAGTGATGCTCGAATGGTGTCCTCACCGATGGTGCCGTCACGACTTGGACCTGGAGGGTTAAGACAGACGAGCAAATTTAGTTCCAATCACCGTTCAAAATAATGATGAATTACAAGCAAACTTGTTCATTAATCTACAGTGGGGGAAATAAGTATTGAACTTTTTTTCGTGGAATAATATTTGTAAAGGAGCTGTTAACATGGAATCATGGATTTAGGTAAAAACCTAAACAATACAAACATGAAAACAAAACAAAAAATCTGAAAAAGCAGTTGTATGTGTTATAACAATAGAATATTTTGTAATGGAATTTACTGAACTACTGAAATGTACTTAATATGTTTTTTTTTTTTTTTTTAAAAAGGCTTTTTTTAATGATGGCAGCTTAAAGACTCCTTTCATATGGACAAATTCACATGCATTGCTCAGGTGTGATTTTTTTACAGACCTCAACAGAGAGTAAAAATCTTGATGGTTCTGTGAGTCTCAACCATCAAATCTGATATTTAATTTGTATTTTATATTGGATTCAAGTGTTGTGATTGTCTGAGCCATTCTACAGGCTGATTTTCTTTCTCTGAAATCATCTGAGAGTTTCCTTGGTTGTGTTTTGGATCCTTATCTTGCTGAAATGTCCACGCTGGTTTCATGTTCATCATCCTGATAGTTAAGAAGTAGGACTGAAGCAGTGAATAATAATTTACAATGACAGAGGGCAGAGGGTTGCTGAAGTACTTCTGAAAGATTTCAGCTGCTGTCTGGGTTTTCACTGCCTTTCTGCAACTTCCTTTTTTCATGTGCTCAATGTTTTTCCCTGTGTCATTTCATTTTACTACACATAACTTTACTTGTTAGTAAATTTCTTTGCATATATGGATATCTTTGGTAGCTATCAACATCTGGTGTAACTTTCAGGTCAACAGCACCTTTAGAAAAGTTTTTTGTGAAAAACGTGTTCAATACTTATTTTTTTTAGAAGTGTAGGATCTACATACTACCAAACTGCATATTTTATAAATAAAAATTTGATTTATTTTTAAAAAATGTTAACTTATTTAATCTTTATTCATTCAAGATGAAATGCCATATTAGCAGCAATGGCTATATGACAAGAAAAACTATAAAACTTAATTAATATAGATTTTTTGATGTATTTTGTACAATTATAAATGTATTAGCAGGCTGAATGGTCGAAATGCCTGGTAAATATGGTTTCTGAGACACTACTGATGTGTGTTCCTATCATCTCTGCCATACAAAGAAACTTTATAGATTACAGACTCACACAATCTACATGACACTGTAGTGTAATGTCATGGTTCAAACGTAATGATGAAAGCTCCCAGGGGAAAGATATCCTCTTCCCGCTCCTACCACTCTAAATATACCTACTAGCCACTCCGTCAAACTGGATGAAGTCCTTTGACCTTTACAAACTCAGAATCTAGTTACAGACTCAACCTTTCAAAGCAGTCCAATGGGGTCACTGTAAACTGGGCACAGAACCAGGCAGAAGACCAGAGGTCAGGGTCAAAATTTGTATATAAATATATAATATATATATATATATATATATATATATATATATATATATATATATATATATATATATATATATATATATATATATATATATAATATATAAAGGGTAAAGTGTGTTGTAGTGAATTATGAATCAGACAATAATGTTTGATCAGGGCAGTTTGTCTTGTCTATTTTGTTCAAATTCTAAATATTTTATTTACTCCCAAAACTGCAATATACACTTAACAACTATTTATATAATCTTAAAGTACAAGACTAAATTTGTTAATCATAGCCTAATTCTACACTTAGTTTTTGCTTCCATCTCCATGAGCTGAACTTTAAAGGTATTAAACTTTTTCTGTGTACACAAAAGGCATATTGTTTTCTCAAATATTGTTCACACATTTGCCTAAATCAGTATTTAGGAGGATTTCTCCTTGGTCGATATTAATCCATCCACCATTGCATAATCTATGCAAGAAGTGCTAGTGCTAGCTAATTCAAGCAATTTTTAATTTTTTAAAAGCAATTTTTAGGTCAAAATTATTAGCCCCTCTAAGTAAATTTTTTTCCCAATAGTCTACAGAACAAACCGCCTGTGTGTGTGTGTGTGTGTGTGTGTGTGTGTGTGTGTGTGTGTGTGTGTGTGTGTGTGTGTGTGTGTGTGTGTGTGTGTGTGTGTGTGTGTGTGTGTGTGTGTGTGTGTGTTAAAACTGAAGCGATTTTACCCAGCTCGGTCAATGAAAATATTACAACATATACTGTTCATTTGCTTACCACAGACTGTAGAACTTATTTGCCAGTAATGGTGATCCACACCCAAGTGGCCATTATCTAGCCTGAGTAATTGTTTATTTAAATTAGATTTATTATTTTAAAATACAAATTAAAACATAATTTAAAACATATCTTCACTTTGTGAAATTATGCAGCATTAATCACTCCTGCAGAAAAGACTTTGCAGAACAAAAATGCTAAATCATTCCAGTAGGTGGTGCATATAGATCAGTGATGAGAAGTGATGAGACCTTTCAAATGCAACTAAATATTGTACATCAGATTAAATAAAATGTAGTACAAGTATACTGAATTAAGCCCATTTCAAAAATTAAAGTGTAATAATAACTGCAAAAACAAGCATTGTTTTAAATAACCCTTACTGTTTTAAACACAAAAATAAGAAAACAAATAGACAATTTTGACATTACTTAAAAAGTAACACATTTAGCTCTTTTTCTTAAGTGACTTTAGATTGTATTGTATTGTATTACTTTTCCCCAACACTGCAAATAAGATCTAAGGCCCAATCTCAATTCTATTTTTGTACCCCTACCCCCATAGCCCTTACAACCGAGGGTTAAGAGGAAGGGCTTCAAAATTTACCCCTTAAAATTTTCTGACAGGGTATTCAAGTGTCAGAATGTTTTGGGAATACTATTCAGGTGTTATGATTATAAATTATAGATCGCAAAAAAAATTTTAAGCATTTTTTTAAAGCATGACAGTAAAACATGAATGCGGTTGTGAATATATTAAAACGTGTTTGTTTGTCGTAAAATTCATAATAATGACAAAAAAAAACTAATTTGTGGATCTCCTTACTTCCGGTTTCAGCAATACTGGCTTTGTGGCTGGTACATTCTGGGAAATTTTCTTACACCTTGGTTTTAAGTGTGGTCCTGAAAAATCTTCATTCGAAGGGCTATTCACTCCTTCCCCTTAGCCCTACGCCTTCAGGGTAAAGAGAATTGGTAAGAGGAAGGCCTAAGGGGTAGAATTGGGACTGGGCCAATATGTTCTGCTGATTTTTTCAGAATTTTAAAACGTAAAACTCCAAATGATCGCCTAAACAAGATAAGACTACAAAACTACCTTAGTAAAGAGTGTTTATTCTGTTCTCATTTCTATTGGCTGTTTAGTTATTTCAATCTGAGAGAATGCACTTTGTGTTACATTGTGTATGGGGAGTTCAGTTCAATTTAGAGGTTGCTCGCATGTTCAACGCACGGTCGGAAAAGCTGCCGTTCTGTACCAGTGCAAGATCTCCAAACAGCAGGAACAGTGACTTGTAAGCTGTGTGTTTATGCCACTTGTACGTTGTGAGTGAACTGTGTATCTCCGTTGTTCAAGGCGTTGAGTAAAAGTAAAAGCCCAAAGCAAAACTGAAACTAACAGAACACACGACACTATCAAAATAAAACATTGCATTTAATGCAAAAAAAAAAATGTAAACCAGATTAACATATCATATCGCTTTCACAATAGCCTACTACTCATTTATTTTATTGCTTAAGTTATAATGTCCTAGACCACCAGCAAATCAGAATATCCAACTGGACAGCTCTCATCTGATTGGCTGAAAGGTACGAGTTGCCTGCTTTAGCCAGGACTGTCTCAAAAACACACACACACGTATTCAGTTGTACGTGAAAGAAGATTTGAAAGAGGATTTCTCATTCAGGATGAACTGGCAAATTTTAAACATTCAAACCTTTTTGTACACTCTTATATAGTGTTTTACATTTGTACATATTTTACGCACGCGAGTTTGGCTACGCATGTGTGCATCGTGTCTTTTGTGTGAATTACTTTAGATACTAAACTCACTCCATAGATGGCTGCCTCAATGTATGCGGCCATGACCAAAAATGTGACCTCCGGGGGACAGTTGCAGCTTTCAAAATGACATGCAGATTAAAAGTTATATAGGTGGTTTTTAATGATCAAATAATAAAAACATTACTAACTTAAACATTAGCTGAACAACTTGCATTTTAACACCATATCATCACAGCAAACATGACAAGATTCCAGTAACAAGCAATTTGCCTGCACCACCAAATGCAACATGACAGATACAATTAAAAACCGGAGGCATTCAGGAGCACAGAATAGTGCGCTGTACTCCAACGAAAAGGTAAATTTTAAAATCTTTCACAGTTATAATGTTCATATTCAAATATGTTTATTTTATTCTTAAGATCTAAGACAAACTATCTGCTGCTGCTTTTAGTATGGGAATAAATGTAAAGTTAAAAGGTATTCAAACTCCATCTTTATCTGTTTTTATATCCGTTCAAAATCCGTGTTTGACAGCTTAAAACTTATTAACAACTTAAAAAACTTTTTAGTTTTTTGTCTCTTCATCTTAATCTTGTTGTATGTGGTTTTTAGTTATAGTTTAGCACATTAGTGAACTAGGGTTGTCTTTAATTACACTATATAAATAAACTGTCAATGTCATTTAACGCTGAATAATCAGTACCTGAGCTAAGGTTTTGATTTTGGACTGCAATACCCAATTCAGCCTCTTAAACGTACATTCAATTTTGCTTATTAAAATTGGGGCTTGGGATTACATCTAGGGAATAACCTGGAGCTTAGAAAATGAAGTTTGTTTGATTATTTTAGGGCTATTATGGCTGGTGAATTAAAATCATAAGATTAAGCATTATACCTAAAAATAAAGCCGAAGGCAAAAATGACAACTCACCCACAGTAGTGACTGGAGTCTGGGAAGTATAATGTGATGGGCCACCTGTGGCAGGATAAGCATTCCCTCCTGGGTAAGGGTAACCTGGGTAACCACTAAGGCAGACATAAATTATTACATAACCAATTATTCATGGACCCTAATTATAACACAGCCTGTTATACCTGGCAAAAAAAAACTTTAACAGATTTATTAAACACTTTACACAGTGTTGCATGTAATCTTTAATGAGAGTGAGAAGATTACCATGGGTTTTGGTTGGGCCCGTAGGGAGATACTGCTGGCATGCCTGGCATATAAGACTCTGAAAGAAAGAGTAAGACACAAAACTAATACATTTTAATATGCACTGTTGGTGCAGGGAGACATCTGCTGTTTAAAATCAGCATTACTTTCAAAAATAGGAAAGAGCAAGCAATTATGTAAGGCTTATTTCTTAAATAAGCACTCTGGCCAAAAAGACACTGTAAAAATGTCAACATACTTTTTATACTATTATCATAAATTATGAAAGTACATATTTTTCACGACAGTTATGTTAAAGTACAATTATCTATTTTAGTACAATATAGTACTATAATCTATTTTAATACATTAAATATTTTTGTACTGTTATCTTAGTAATTGATCTAATGTAAAAAGCTTACTATTAAACTTGTCGTATGGTATATTGAGTTTCAAGTATCTATAGATTTCATTTCCAACAATTTCAAAGTAGATCCATGAGTAAGCTGCTAAATGGTCCACATTTTCAGGTCACATGGAACACCTTGAAACAGCTACAGTAATACCATTTTCTTCAATGAGTCAAAAAAAAAAATAAATAAAAAATAACCCGTTATATCATCTTTTTAAAAATTATGTTTTGTTTTATATTTAGCTGTATTAACCCTAATATTGAAACCAAAACAAAAACATTAGAGGTTAGTGCTCTCCTTCGGAAAGACATACATAATATATGCAAATTATTTGTCCTTCAAAAGGCATGTGTTAGTTGCTAATGTTTCAGTTTTGTGTGTGTGATAAAATATGTTGAATGTGCTTGTCTGATGTCAAAAATGGTTATCAATCACAAAAGTTTACAAAATATGGTATAAACTGCACAACCCACTAGATTTAAATTATTTCAGAAGTTCTTAGATTTTTAAAAAAATATTCAGCTATTAATTTATATAATTATGTACAATAAAATGTTAAATAATATGTTCCATTAAAATAGTTCATACTATCAGCATTCATTTAAACAAGCATCATGTCTTAAGTGAACATAAGCAGTTAAGGAAGATTGGATTGAACATTATATTGAGCTAAAAAAATAAAATAAAGGGGAAATCACTTGATTTAATTTAATTTGATATTTTAATTTCTGTTTTATATATATATATATATATATATATATATTTTTTTTTACTGTTTTATATCGATTTAGATAAATAATAACAATGAACTGTTGGGGTTTTAATAAGGTTGCTATTGAAAATAACTGAATATTTTATTTAACCATTTCATTTATTTAATAAATGCTTTGCTTATAAAAAAAAATCTATCCATGGTGCTAAACTGAAATGTAACTCTAACTATGAGCTTTGTGATCTGTTTAACCACTAAAAGTGAGCTTTGTTGTCTGTCCAACCACTAAAACTAACTTTTGGTTTTCCAAAGTTCATCATCATATTCACAGAATCATATTCTAAATATACAGCAAGAAAACTGATTTATAATACAAAAGCACAAGTACTTTGTACTTAATTTATTTTTTGTGCAAGTAAACATTAGTTAAAGACGCATAATACAATGTTTTTTATTTTTAGTTTTATTCAAACGATTTAACAGAAACTGTCTGCATTTAACATCAACCATCAAACAGTTTTTATTTTCTTTAGATTCACTGATGGTGAAATGCTTTGCTTACGGTTTGGAGGTCCAGTCGCTTGGAAAGCCTGATATGGAGGTTGTGTGGTGGGTCTGGAGAAAACGGGTGGCTCTTCACCAAAAACAACAATCATGACCTGGATAAGTCCATATAAATCTGACTGAGGCTAGAGAAAGTCAAAAAAAGATGAGATGTTCCACATTTATGATTTCATAATAAAATCAAACATTAGTAAAGTGTGTTATAATAATATATGTTTTAAATTATATTATCAACAGACTGACATTCATTTGACATTGCCGTACAGTATTAATAGTTAGACTTGGGGGAAAAATGTTGGTGTTTGAATTAAACAATGTTGGGTGTTGGGAGACATACATGTTTCCACTCATGCAAGTAGGGCAGGTAGATCTTGCCGTTGGCATCAATGTGTTTCCCTGTCTTAATCATCATCGCACTGGTGGGCTTCACAAAACATATAGGAGGATTGTAGGGATATGTGTCCAAAAGCCACAAGCACACAGGAATATTGTATACATTCCCTGAGACAGAAAAAACAGTATGGTTATGCATGTTATAAATGTTGACTTCCTATTTACAATGTAAATCCTTCTATAACATACCTCTATAACTAACTGGTACAGTTCCTGTGAGGCTCATCAAGTCTCTGGAGGATCCATCATTAAATACTGCAAATTAAACAGCAGTTATTAATGAAAACCCCAAAGAATAACATTTCTATTTCTCTCTACAAAGTAATTATAGGATGAGATGATCTTACCATATGCATCCATAACAGGTTTGAGGTCTTTGTACTGAGATATGACATTTGTTATCTCTCGCACAGTGAGATCTCTGTATTTGTATTGCTGAAACATGAAAATAAGAGCATAGTGATTTAGAATTTGCAAATATAAAAAGCCATATGACAAGACCTAAAATCTATGTGACAATTATTTCAGTACTCCGTAATGCATACAGGTAAATAACTATTTAGGTAAATTTGGTTTATGCACGAATTCGGACTTTCTCCTTAATAATTTAAATAAAAAAAAATATTCTCTGCAAATGTTAAATCATATTAACAGTAAAATAAATTGTAAAATAAATTGTGCAAATGTTTTTTTTTTTTTTCCAAGTCATACTAACACATGATATCACACCGAATATTCCATGGTAAACAATATAAGAAGCATGTCACTGGTTGTCACTAAACAAATATGCAAAAATAAAATCATTTTTACCTCAATTAAATAACTAGCTAATGAGATTTTGATAACCGATTATGAGAGTATTTCAGATTTTGTCAAAATACCATCGATCGCTCAATTCATACATTTAACGATAGAAAATAAACGATACAAACCTTCAGCATCTTTTTAAGAGCTCCTTCGTTGACAACAGCCATGGTTTAACAATGGATTATTATTAAACACACTAAACTCTAAAGAAAAAAAAGATTAAACGCCCGAAATGTGAAATAAGCGAGTCTCTAAGCTCAGGCCAAACAACTCTGACAAACCCTAAAACGCTCGTAATCAGTCAAATAGTATGTCTCAAAACCCTATAAACACACTAATAACACACTAAATTATTCGGAAATGCAATTGCTTAATGAGAATTCAATAAAATAAAGCAATGAAGACTAGCATTCATGTCGAAGAAGATAAACAAGACGAACGGTGGAAGCGTCATTACAGTGAGGGTTTTACTTCCGCGGTAGGTTGGATCTTCCAAAATAAAAGTCTTGATATTTTAAATATATGATTTAGTCATGTAAACAACCAACAACAGGGGTTCTCAACCTTCCATTTTCCATTTCGCGGCCAACTTCTTCAAAACATCAATTGTTTGAAGGCCCACCTGCCTGTCATTTACTCTAAAATGTTTTTAGGGAATATATGTACATTCTATTATTTATTTTTTTATCACAATTTTATACAAAAAAATAATGATAATAATAATAAAAATAAAAATAAATATATAAATTTTATTTAACTAAAACTAAAACTATTTAACACACACACATATATATATATATATATATATATATATATATATATATATATATATATATATATATATATATATATATATATATATATATATATATATATATTAAGGGTGTAACGTTACGCGTTACAGCTAAGTACCATTGCCATTCTCCACATCTATTTTCATGCCTTTCACACTGGCTTTCATTGCATAGCTGGTTGCACCTTGAGACTTTATAGTGAAACTTCTTACATCAGCTTTGCCGGTTCCTGTCTAGTGCTTATCATTGCAACCCTTCAGAAGCCCTATCAAGTCACAGTTTTCTTTTAGTCAATGGCGTGTCCGCAGTGGGACATCAAAGCGCTAAACATATAGCAGAGTGCTGTCGATTAGGCCATTGGAATCATCACCAGAAGCGACGTGACCGTCTGGGAGGAAGATGGTGCTTTGGTCAAGTGGAAGCAGGTGGACTTAAGTGTGAAGCAGCTAGGCTTTTTGAGTGACTTTCGGTTCCCTGACCCTCATGCCAAAAACAGAATGACAACGCTGCTTTGCCGAAACCCAGGATTGAACCAGGGACCTTTAGATTTTCAGTCTGAAGCAGGTCGCACACCAGAAGCGCCGCTCGGCGGCGCGCCGCGCAGCGCCATGTATTTTAGAATTCTAAACATAGGTTTCTATCAGGATACACACACCGGCGCCGCAAGTCGGCGGCTGTCGGCGGCGCCCGGCGACGGCTCAGGACGCAGTTCATTTTTCAGCCGCGCCACAGAGCGCCATCTGATTAGTTTCATGTTAAATATCATTCGAATGTGCGCGTCTGGTGTGTGATACCTTAAACTGTCATGTACGCGCCGTGTCGCGGCGCGAGCGGCGCTTCTGGTGTGCGACCTGCTTAACACTCTCCTAACTGAGTTATTTCAGCTGTCACGTCTTAGCTTCTCTGCAGCATGGATGTGGGTGAGACAGATAAGAGCCCTTGAATGCGTCTGAGGCCTAGGAGGGTAATAGCTTGGCCAGTAAGGGGATCAAACCCACGACCTTGGCGTTATTAGAACCACGCTCTAACCAGCTGAGCTAATCGGCCACTTTCTGCCCACTCTCATAGAAAGCTCAGAGTAACTGTCATTCTCCGGCCTTCAAGGGATTAGCATGCTATGCCAGTTTTTTTTTTTGCACGGTGCTGGCAAAAAAAACCCAAGTTCCACTGAGATTTGAACTCGGATTGCTGGATTCAAAGTCCAGAGTGCTAACCATTACACCATGGAACCTCAACATTGCTGAGAGCTGCTGCCCGGGGTGAAGACAATAAATAAAAAATGAAAAAAAAAAGCATGCTATTCCAAGCAATTTGATTTGATTGCATAGCTGGTTGCACCTTGAGACTTTATAGCGAAACTTCTTACGTCAGCTCTGCCGGTTCCTGTCTAGTACTTATCATTGCAACCCTTCAGAAGCCCTATCAAGTCACAGTTTTCTTTTAGTCAATGGCGTGTCCGCAGTGGGACATCAAAGCGCTAAACATATAGCAGAGTGCTGTCGATTAGACCATTGGAATCATCACCAGAAGCGACATGACCATCTGGGAGGAAGATGGCGTTTTGGTCAAGTGGAAGCAGGTGGACTTAAGTGTGAAGCAGCTAGGCTTTTTGAGTGACTTTCGGTTCCCTGACACTCATGCCAAAAACCAAAAGACAAGACTGCTTTGCCGAAACCCAGGATTGAACCAGGGACCTTAAGATCTTTAGTCTAATGCTCTCGCAACTGAGCTATTTCAGCTGTCTTGGCTCTGCTGCTCTGCAGCATGGATGTCGGTGAGACCGAGCAGAGCCCTTGATTGCATCTGAGGCCTAAGAGGGTAAAAGCTTGGCCAGTAATTTATTTTAAAACTTTACAAATAATTCTTTATTTATTAGGTTTGTGGAAAGGCCCATGTATGGAGATGCAAAATACATTGTTTTTGAAACATGTTTGTGGGAGCTGTTTGCAACGTGTCCAATTTGCAAATCAAAGTGTGATACGGAGCAACACAGCATGGGCACATATGTTGCATTCAGCCAGATTTGGCCCAAGTGTATGTACAACAGGAAGTGGCAGAGCCAGCTAATTGTTGGAAGTACACCGGTAGGATACATCCTCTTATCAGCAGCCACTTATTTTACAGGAGGCTCATTTACCCAACTACAGAAGGTAGTAAATTATTATACGAAGAAATATCTAATTTTATGAAATCAAAATTGTTAATATTATTTATTAATACACTTTTTTTCTCTTGTATAGATTTTCAAGGCTGTGCAAATAAACTTGTTCCAGTATGACACATTTCGTCAACAATGCAAAAGTTTTTTGGAACCAGCAATTGTTCACAAGTGGAAAAGTGAGAAGCAAAACATAATAGCAAATAGCCATTCAGCCAAATTTGCAAACTACACAGTAATGGACATGCACAGTAATACAATTGTGGACCTCCAGCTTGCTCAGGTGTGTAACTTCATATATATATATATATATATATATATATATATATATATGTATATAAAACATTAAATAAAGATGTATTCCAATTTTTAAATAAACCAATTATAATATTGCTATGCATTTTTTGAGCAATGAGGTTGAAGGTAGCTACCATATGGAGATTTACACCAAAAAACGTTGTTTTCCCATTCATGGGAATGCTGTGCAGTTACTCAAAATATTACAACATATATCAGTTTACCTTTTTTGTTTATTCTCTTTGTTAATTGTCTGCTTTGCTATTGTAGACTGTACCTTGCAGTGTTTCATCACAATGAACAAGCCAATGAACAAGCCAAAACGTCAACAAGCCACAACCGCTACAGGACAAGCGATGAACAAAATGGTGTTGCTAAACTCAAAAAGAGGGGAATGGACAACACGGGCATTAAAAACAGAACCAACCTATAGTAAGTTATAAAAGTTTTATTATTAGAAATAAATACGTAATTTACATGTAATAAATATCTAACAAAATTATAATATAATTTTCTAATTATAGGATATGTTGAGGAGCTACTGAAACTGTTCTTCAAGGTCATCATTATGGAACCCTCTCCATTTGTGGATGAATTGAAGAAAATTCTCATTCCCAAGCCCCCTTGTGCAGAATACGACAGACCAACAAAGGAAGAAGCCATTGCCCATCACATGTCACGGTTCAGTCAAGAGGGGGTCGGAAGCCAACGTGCCAACCAGCCAGACCTGTATATGCCTGCCGTATCCGGGTTACAACACAGCACGGAATTACAACACAAACACTCCGACCCAAGTAGCCCCAGCACCAGCTGACAAAACTTTGATACGCCAGGTAGCGGAACCGCCTAAAAGAAATGAAGACTTTTTTTAAAAAATCTGTGTGACAATTTATTTTGTGAATAAAGATCGTTTGATTAACATATCTGATTCAAATGTCATCATTTACATGTTCTGTTTATCCCATATCAAAGTGGTTGCTCTAACGTTATTATTTGTGGGGTTAATCAAGATGTTCTTACTCTGTTGTTCTGAGCCTTAGTCTCAGAACATAGTCACATTGGTAAATGTCGTAGATGTTTTGCAGTGTATATGGATTCAGACAGTTGGGTTCAAAGCCTGGATGGTGTATCATGCATGTTGGTGGGTCTGGAAGAATTCATAATAACATAAGTGTTTGGATTGGCATACAACTTCAACACTCTCCAAAACAAACTGATATGATATTACATGTTTATGCATATGAGTAATAATGATTACCTTTTGTGGACACAACAATTTTATATGTGACAATGAATAAAAAAAAAAAATTATAATAACTTATAAGAACATAAATGTTTGTAGTGGCATAAAACGTTAACACTATCCAAAACAGCTTGTTATGATGTATAGTTACATATGAATAATACATATTAACTTCAGTGGACAAATAAAATTGTATATGTTACCATAAAAAAACTCATAAATATAGAAATTTGTTTTCTTTGTTAATAACTTGTATAACAACTTATAATAACAAATATTTGTATTGGCATAAGAGGTTATTACTATCCAACTCAAGTTGCTGCTAATGTTTATACTGGTATAAAACATTATGTCGGGTTTTTTTGTGACTTCTCTGTCTCCCTCTTGTGTATTATCATTTGTATGCAGTTTCACCTGTTATCAATTTGCTTGTTTCCCCGTCCCCATTCGGCATGCACTAAATTCCAGGGGTTTCATTACCGCGACGTAAAATGGGCGTGGCTCGGTCGGTGTTTGGGAAACGCCCCCTTAAAAAAAAAACAATACTGAGAGGTCACCGATCATGCGCAGTACAGGTTCTTTTTTAGCGCGGTCATTTCAAACAGGATGATTATGGATAAAGAACCTCCTGCGATGGATAACGAAGGAAAAAAAACAATCATACAGGTTATTTTTTTGTTGTTATAATGTTATATTTTAAAGATTTAATGAGTAAAAACATCTGACCTCGTTTTAATCCGTATTACTCCGTTTTACTGTCTCTGGGCTTTTGTACTTCCTTTTTAAACCAAATAATAATGGTTGTGGTAAGATTAACCGTGTTTTTGTAGTTTAAAATATAGTATTCAGTCATGTTTAAACAAATAAATACCACATTTTCTGTAATAAATCGTGGTTAATTTTTCTTTCTCTATCTTAGTTAATTAACATAACTCATATTTATTTTCTATTTTTATTTAAAGT